GAGTATATATATATATATATATATATATAAATAATAATGCTATTTTTTGGGAAATATTAAAGATTTAACAATAGTGTAACTATTCAAATTTAGTAAAAATTATTCAAATGCAAAGATAAAGCAGTTGCATTACTACAGATACTAATGAAAAATTGTCATTATATTATTGAAATAATATAAAACCTAAATTTGAATTTTCATCACTTGTGAAAAATCACTAATAAAAACATTTTGATGCATAAATAGTTAAATAAAAACATTTTAGGTGTTGAATGTAATGAAAAAAACAAAATTTTGCTCAACATAAGACAACTTCATGCAATTTAGAATCATAACAATTCAAAAACCTTAAATATAAATGTTTATATAATCTAGTAATGGTTCAGAAGGTGAAACCTAAGGGTTCATGATTTCTGGAACATTCTGGAACTCTAGACAATCCGCTCCAACTCCCTTGCATAGCTTAAAGTTTGATTGATTAATTGTAAGGAAGGTATCTCCTTGTGTGGTTGTAATTCTTTGGCCTTCTGAAAGAATAGGAATCCATTCTTGATCTCCCATTCCGGGTGTTCCTGTAAATATCAAATTACAATGATATTTCATTTCATCATATTACAACAATGATGAAAAAATAATATAGAAGAATCGGAAAGTGCACATCACAATGAGTAGTTGGCTTGTGCGCTGACTCGCTTTAACTATACTAATATAAAACAAATTTTAAGAAGTCAGTAGTTTTAAGTGCGAGATGGTACATAAAATTATATTTAACTTTTTAGAAGGTGGAGGTGAGACTTACAATGCTTTATGGCGGAGAATGTTGGCTTTTAAAAGAGAATGTTGCTGAGATAAAAATGGTTAGGTAGATGAGTGACTTGACACTTAGAGAGTGTTTGCTGCGAGATCGGATTTACGTTAATAGGATTTCTCAAATCCGGATTTCCAACAAGCTCGTGACGGGAGCGAATGTCGCAATCAATGGGGACGTAAATCCGGCAAATCCATCTATGTGGGATTTGGTAAATCTGGATTTGGCGGATTTATAGACGGAACGCCTGGAAGCAGACGTAAACCCTGGAAGAAGACGGAACAAGAATAATTTCTGATTAACAGAGACTTGGATTTTTTTTTTTTTTTTTTTTTTTTTTTTTTTTGGGTGGGTTTTGGTTTGCTGGATTTGAGTTTAAATCTAGTGCTAAATCCTATTAAAAGTCTGCTACCAAACACCCCTTTAGAGACAAAATGTGAAACGAATGTATATGTGAAAGAGTTGGTGTAGCTCCAGTGGCAAACAAGACTAAAGAGGGTCGTTTTAGATGGTTTGGTCACATTAAACATCGACCATCTGTTGATCCGGATAGGAGAGATGCTTCAGATTCGACTTGTGTTAAGAAAGACAATAATAAACCTAAAAGGACTTGGGCATGTTGTATAAAAAATTATCTTAATTTTAATGAAAATATCACACTCAATAAGACACAATGAAGAAAAATAATTGATGTAATCGACCCCGCTTATGGGATAAAAGCTTGTTGTTGTTATTTCTTATATGAAATGATCTCTTATTATAATTCTTTTAATTTATCACTATTCTTATTATTTTATCATAACTATTTGAATTATAAACATTTTTTCTAATTCATAATAAAAGAGCTAGCTCGCGAGCCGACTCATAGAATCAAGCTTGAGCTCAAACTGAAACTCAAACTATCAATTAATCAAGAAGCTTAAGCTAGCACTGCGTTGACCTTGACTTAAAACATTTGGATCCCTCCCATAAATCTTTAATAGATATGAAACCTTTATTGTGATAATTGAAATAAATAATTAAATAAAAGTCAATAAAATAAAATGAATTTTAATGGATCTGTGTTGCTTCGAATCATTCGCCATTTCAACTATTTCTTCATAATTATAGCTCAAACTGGAGGAAAAAAAAAAGAGCTAGTGAGAGACAGAGATAAGAGAAGTAGAAGAGAGGAACTGTGTAGGTGACTTAGTGAAGGAAGAGTAAGACGGGGGGTCAAATGTGCAACCTTAGTCGAGGCGAGCAGAAGAAACATGCGTGGATGCTTGCAAGAAAGGAGGTGAGCCGTATACAGGGAAAGGCAAACCAAACGAAGTTATAGTCAAGAGGCTCTGTGTGCCCCTGTGCACGAAAGGAGGTCAAACCGAGCCTCCTGCGGGAATTGTATTGTGTGTGGCTGAGAGCAAGCTCTGTCTCTGTGCACATTTTGTGTTAAAAAGGGAAAAATACTACATCAGGACTCCTAACGTAGAGCTACGTTAGGGTTGAAATAGTCGGCTGTGTTACGGGAATATTCCATCTGCGTTATTTGTAAAAATAATGTGTTATTCGAGTATTATATAGTGTTATTCGATTATTTTGTGGTGTTATTGGAATATTTCTTTGCATTACTTGATTTGGGGCTGAAGTGTTATTGGAATATTTCCCCGCATTACTTGATTTGGGGCTGCGTTATTCCAATAACATAGTGGAAATTGAAATAGCACGGGGAATATGCCGAATAACATAGCCCCAAATCAAGTAACCCGATGGAATATTCCAATAACACCACAAAATAATTGAATAACACCATATAATACTGGAATAACATATCATTTTTACAAATAACGCAGATGGAATATTCTCGTAACACAATCGAATATCCCAATCCGAATGTAGCTCTACGTTAGGAGTCCTGATGTAATATTTTTCCGTGAAGAAGAGGAAGGAGGAGGTGAGGAAACTGAACTAAGCCTTTAAAAGGAAAAAAAAATCGGAAGGACGAAGCTTGTGCCCTAACCGAGGAAACTGAACTAAGCCTTTAAAAGGAAAAAAAATGGTTAGTTTTCTTTTAGTCAGATAGTATATATATTAAATTGATTTATGTTTAAGATAGTAATAGAGCTTCATGTTAATTAATGACATAAAGTCTATCAAGAATGCTTATGGTTTTGGTTCATGTTGCAAGAAGGCAAATCAAGCTATTGAATGAATGTTAAGGTAAGGCTTTATGGATTTTATTTTTTAATAGTATAAATTATTTTAATTAAAATGTCATGAAGGTATATTAAACTTTATGAATTAATTTTAATGTTTAAATCTGAACACGCAATTGAATTAAAGGACTAATGAGATCGAGATCGGATTGTGCAAAAGAAGAGATAAGGAGCCAAGAGTGATGTTTATTTAGTAATTTTTATAGTTAATTTAATTGTAAATTGTTACATATTAATATTAGACTATTATGAAACATAACAAGGAGAGAGAATTTATGTAGTGAAAGAGAGTTTAAAAATTTGAAAGGGATCATTTCATAAAGCAAATTCAAGGTAAGTACTCATCTTTTAAGTTTTTATTACTTTTTTTTGTTTATTCTAAAGTTTATTCTAAACCAAATTCATTATTTTTTACTAAGAGCTAATTGCCCATTTTACTTTGATTTATTCTCTTTAGATGTTGGTCATATCATTGTGATGAATATATATTTTAAAAGTACTATTATGCATTATTTAAATGTAGAATTAAATAAAAATAATGTATGAATGATATGAGCTGCAAAGACTGATTGCGTGTATGATTGACTATGATGAAGTTTACTTCCCTTAGGTACTTTTTGTGGGACTCTAAGATACTCGTGCACATAAATAAAAAATGATATTGACATTTATGTAACTTCATTAATACAATTTCAAAGAGTGCTCATATGAAGGTTGTAAAGATATAAAATGATATTGATAAGTTATTAATATAGGAAAACACATTAAACGTTATGAATTATCGTGAATAATCATATCTGAAAAATTAAAATGTCTAGTGCTTTTATATTGATTCATATTATTCTCGCTAGCAATTATATTGTTCCCTTTTCGTTATGTTATTATAGTTTAGGTGTGAGAGTATTCATTTGCTTGCTAGCTTATGTTGTTTTAAATTAATATTTTCAGGTTGATATTGCAAAATAATAATGAATAATAGAGAAGGGTATCTAAAAAAGATATGGACAACCTGATCTAAGGTAAAAGTTTAACTGTATTACTTCAAATTATTTTTGTAGTGGCTCTTGCATTTATTTCAAAATGATTAAATATTAGTTATAGAAAATAAAAATAGAAAATAGAAGAATTTCAATTATCATTATCTGAATGTTTGTTTCTGCCTTGGTTACTTCTAACCCCAGGTCGGGTCGTGACATTTACTGTCACAATCTACAACTAAGAAGGATTTATTTTATAATAGGTAGGCTCAAATCCAAACTGTTAGCAACAATCAAAATTATTTACAAAAAGCGTAAAGTTGGGTTGGGATCAAATTTCAAATCCTTTGATTTGCTTTCACATGAACACAATACATGGATAATCAATCAACTCCTATGCTGCACTCATGTCAAAGTAAATCAATGGATTTTAAAATCCATCTTAACCTCACCCAAAACTTTTTCCCTTCGGAATCAACAAGCTACCCCATAACAAATTAAATGATATACCATGAAAAATAAACCTACCTCAGAGATGTAATCTTGAAGCTCCTGATCAGATGTATACATGAGGATTTTCTTTGCATCAGCGACAGACAATGAATCATAAGCTTTCTCGCTGCAGCCTGCAATCTCATCCCTGCAAAGTAAAAGCAGATCTGACGGTCATCAAGGGTCTGTTTGGGAACGGTTTTCTTTTTGTTTTATGGATATTTGGGGTGGGAAGTTGTATTTTGCAACCATGACAGTTAAATTGTGGCGGTTGTATGGAAGCTGTTGTTTGACTTTTTAGAAAGAATTAAATAATTATAATTACACAACTTTCTAAGATTGTTTTTACCACCGCAATTTTACAAACATTTTTATAAAATATTGCAGCCACCCCAAACAAATCTTAGCTATCTTTAAAGTAGTAGAAAAATAAATCTGATTAATTTGACAAATGGAAGCATAAGAATTACCTGACAGTTTTTGCAAGGAGATCCATGAAATATACATACGATTCATGAGGGACAGACTTCCTCGCACTCAAAACGCGATTATAAGCACCCTCCATGAAAGACTGCTCGAGCTCAACAGCATGTTTGATGCAAGGATTCTCCAATGCAGTGGGGGAAAGGAGTTCTAACTCGGTGTGAAATTCTGCTATTCGGTTTTGTGCAAGGAGCCTTAAGAGATTAAGACCCAAGATAGGGTATTCCTGGGGTGACGGTGGAATAAGACCGCTGACAGTGAAAGTAGCGAGGTGAGAGACAATAAGGCGTACGAAGATACCGTTATTGAAAAATATAAAATCTTAGTTGAAAAAAAGATTTGCAAAAGCTGAAATGCAGCTTGTCTAAAAGATGACCTTACATGAAAAAGTATTCGACAAAATTACTTAATATTAAGAGTCTGTTTGGGCCGATTACAACTGTACGAAGAAACTGTTGCAAAAGAAGCTGCTGTTTAAAAAACTGCAGTGGTTATTATTATTATTTTTTTTTTTGAAAAAGTCATACCGTAGCTTTTCTAAAAGCCACCGCACTTAGCAGAGTTGGTGAGAAAATGCAGCTGAATTTTTGAAAAAAATAGGCAATACGCAACAGAAAAAATTGTGGTGCGGCAAATCACTGTCGCCCCAAACACACCCTAAGTATAACGAAAGAAATTAATTCAAAATTGGAAGTTTCTTCCAGAACTAAAGAGTTATATGAGAATCCAAAAGTTTCATCTGGTAAAGAAACTTCCGTTTTGACTGACTTTAGACCAGAAAAACTCTAAATTTACAGTCTTAAAACAATTTATGGACTTCTTTTCACCTCGTAATTTTGAAAATGTTTAAAAGGACTTGCTGATTTCTGAAAAGAAGGGAAATTTTACTTTTTTACCTGTTTCAATTAAGGCTGTAATTGAACTCAGACAACCAAAACAATCACACCTTAGATCAAACCTCGTTTGATCATTCTAAGAGTCGTGTATGTACAGTCAGAGCTCAAGCCAAGATTTCACATATATGTATTATTTAAATTTTTTTTAGAATTGAACTTGGCTACAACTTGGTTGACTAAATTAATTACAGGAGTACTTAAACAAGCAAATAAACAAACCAAAAATTAGACAGAGCATTTCATTTCATATACTAATAATATTCATTGTTCGATCGTTGAAAACCTATATTTATTGATTGTAAATCAAGTGCTAGAGGTTGAGAACTATAAAAAAATATTGAGATGAGCATTAAATTAACTTACTATTTAACATCATTTAATCATTGCAACAATTCATTAATTTGAGTTGATTAGACTAGCACATAATGCTCAATTTAAAAACTAGCATCGATGTATAAATTGATTATTTTAGAACTCCGTTAAAAGTAAATTTCTTATAATTTTTTAATCAAACAAAACATCACGGGCCATTGCATCTATTCAAGGTGTCGATGTTTGATTTTCTATTAGAGGAATAATTTTCCCATGCCCTCCCGCGTTCTGATAGTGAAGTTTCAAATAACCTCGTATTCTTAACACTGATGTCTAAATATTCATGTAAAAAGGCAAGTCTAAAACAAAAGCATTATCGCCAATCTGCTGCAATATATGAAATAATCCGTAATGAATTAACTTGACCATATAATTTAGTCTTTCCACGAGTGCAACCAAACCAAATCTCCTTGGAATGCAGACTCAATCCTATGCTAACCTCTTAATGTTGTGATTTGAGTTCATACTAAGAGGATAGAATTGATTTGAAAGAAATTTTAGGTGTTTTTGGAAGGTTCTCTAAAAGATTATCAATCAGATAAGGATACCTCTCCAAAGAGATTATAACTTCTAGAGGGGAAAAGCTGACTTTCGGGCCTCCATGTTGTATTATTTTACTACAAAATTAAAATGACTTTTCTCTCCAAAGCGAGAAGTCTCTTTTTTATCATACCTTGTGGTGAGTATCTTCCTCTAGTAGATTCTCCAACTCCATTGATACTTCTCTAGACTCCATCATTCAAATAATCTTTCTCCTTCAAGTAGAAATTTTCCATCCTAAAAAATCATTATTATCATCTTCTTTTTCATCACCTTGTAAGTTGATCACATATTTCCTTTCTTAAATAACAAAAGAGGCTGCCGGTTGAGACAAAATCACCCCCATTGTGGCTAAATGTTTTGTTCTTAACCTACCAAATCTTACAAATCACATTCCTCATACCTCTTTAATTTGTCTCCATTAGCCTCAAAGTTGAATTCATCACCAAAATGTTGCTCTCTAGTATCTTTCATTTCTCTAATTAACCACTACAATTTTCACCAATAGAATCCAAAGTATACGAATCATCTCTCAAAGTGAATCTTCTTTTTCGAATTTTAGAGGTATTTGATGAACAATAAATCATCTAAACGCTTTCGATCAAATTCATTTCTCTTATTTATATGAATATGTGAAACAAAAGACTAAATAAAATACATAAAATATGTACATTGTATAAAAAAAAAAAAAATTATTCTTATTTTTGAAGACATTATACGTTAATCATAAAATCTTAATAGCTAATTTTTATAAAGTTAAGGTTAATGCATCATATATCTCCCACCATTTTGTTGTATTAAGCTTATAATCCAACATTTAAAAAATATTTTAATCATTAGAGAAATTCAAAATTATATGGAAGTTTTAATTAATGAGAAAAGTGCTAAAATAGTTCCGACTATTTACATGGAGCCGTTTTAGTCCTAGAGTTTATATAAGTATCAAAATAGTCATTTGACTATTTTAAAATTAAGCTCCAAGAATCCTCCATAGGGACTATTTCAACCTCAATATAAACAATATGGGGACTACATTGGCACTTCTATGAACTCTGGAACTAAAACAACCCCATGTAAATAGTCGAGGACTATTTTGGCACTTCACACTTTAATTAACTATAATCAGGAATTTCTTATCTCTAATATAGACGATGAACTCAATTGAGAATAGGCCACCAATATAAATAAAAAAGTATCTATATTTATCTATGGTCATTTTATAATTTGAATCTAGCATTAACTACTAATAACTGCATAGAAATCAGCCATCAATTATCCATCTCATTGTATTATAGCTAGTATTTTATAAAAAATCTCTAAATTAAGATAACATCTGGCTTAATGCAATAATTGTCGAAGTTTACACTATTTCTTTTTGTCCACTCCAAATTCACTACGAATTACATCATTCACTCTTTCAAATTCATCATAAACACAATCAATTTGTCAATCTCATCACCATCGACCAATCTAAACATCTTCACTAATAAATTTGTAAACTTCAAAGCATAATCCTCAATATTTTTAAAATATAGTCTTAAGTATAGTTTCTTTCTTTTCCTTATAATCAACATTAAATCTAAATTTTATCCAATTTTCAAAAAACAAATGAGTCATAAATTTTTAATTAGTTATATTCTCACAAAAATGAGAAAATAAGTAACAAAAAAAATGAATCGATCTCATCAATTTTGCGCCGCTAATATATACTCTTATCATGTTAAGAGCAAATTGATAATTATATACATATATATATATATATATATATATATATATAAAAAAGTAAATAAATTCTTAATAGCCTTTTTCACTCGAGTAATGTTCCTAATATTCTCTAGCCTCAAATCAATACAATGGGCTGCACATAGTGTCTGGTACATGTGCCTCATCTTTTCCATAAGCATTTGACCTACAAGAACTTATGAAGAGTTCAAAATCTCTAAATGTGAGGAAAAAAAATGTATACAGTTTATGTTAAACACTATGAATTACTAACCTAAAAGTAAGTAGAATAGTTATTTATAAAAAATTCAAGCATATTATCCCCTTTAATCTTTTTATTTGTGCATCTAAAAGTTTAAAAAAGTTTCAAAGCAAGCTTTGAATATTCAGATGCATTAAATTCAAGAATATTGCGCTTGATGGTAATTAACAAAAAAAAAATTACTATAGAACACCCTCTACAATCATTTCATGAACTTGTCATAAAGGTGCCATAAAAGTGTATTCCTTCCCTGTAAACTATTTTTAATGCTCCACATCCTTCATTGTTGCCTGTATTTCTCTTTCAAGTGAAGGGACTCTTAACTCATAATAGGATGGTAGTCAAAGATTGATCCCATATAATGCAAAAGTCTCTACCATATGATCAAAAAAATACCGTTGTACTACATTGAAGGAATATCTGCATGATAAAATCACCCAACCATGTATTGCACAATTCTCTCTTTTTTCCTCATTTTCATTCTTTAAATCTTCTTTAAATCGCATTGGTCTCAAATTATTGTCTTGTAAACTATATTTCAAGTTTTTTATAAAGAAAATGATTCATAGAACATTTCATTATAGATGCATCAACACTCTTCGATCCAGAACTTGATCACTTATCAAAGTGCAAAGGATATTGGCATATCTAATTATTTAGTATTATCTACCACCTTCTCATTATGCTACATTTGAACTTCATTTATTTTTTCTGTATTTCTTGATAAGAAAGCAAGTCACCTCTTATATCCAAAGCATTTTCTTATATTTGGTAACATTACTTCTTTTAGATGCTCCATAAAGATTGATAATATGCTTCTTGCTTCAAGATATACCTCAATTTATCTCTTTATCAAAATATATGCGTACATGAAAAAGGATATCTAACTTGAATTTTAACTTTGCTACTTTAAGTCAGATCTTTTCTCCTCATATTATGATTGAGCATATATAAGTTTTTTTGTATGTAAATAATACAACAACAACAACAACAAAGTGTTTTTCCCACTAAGTGAGGTCGGTTACATGAATCATTTTTCTCCATTGTGTCCTATTAAATGTCATATATTCATTTAATTCTAAATAATTAAATATATACTCCATTAAGTTTACTAAATATCATGTAGAGAACGAGAGATTACATAAATAATTACAGAATTTGCTAAAACCATATAAAAGTCACAAATGACATTTGATGACTAGCCTATTTTTTAAATCAAATCACAAATGCCATTTGTATATTAAAGTGTTAATCAATAAACCTTAAATCACATAACAAATCCTAGCTTTAGCAAATCTCAAACCATCAAATTTTTTGTGAGTAGAAGTGTTAATCATCGAACCCTAAACATTCTGAAAATAACTTGAATAAATAAACTACCATGAATTGAGTGATCAGCCCACCGCCAACAACACACTAAAAAAGAAGGCCACTAACGTTACCATAGTTGAAGGGAAGG